GTTTAGGACAATTGTCTTACAGTAAGGCAGGGTGAAACGGAAATGATATGGTTCAGGAACTGTGAAACCTTCTGGTCCACAATGTTGGTTGTTTGGCACTTAGCAATACTCCAGCTGTATGGCCTAGGTCTGTAAATAATCGAGTCTGGTCCAGACAATCCAGTGATCAGCATCATGATCATCGTTGCATGCAATTGGGATACAATGACATGTGTCAACTAGTGGTGTTCCGATTAATTGAAATAATCGAAGATGGTCGCAGTGACCAAACGACCAAGCAATCGATCACATTTGCTCATAATCGAACATAAACAGTTTTGGAACTTCTGTTTTAGTGTTTGAAATACTTGACGATGGAACATATCTTAGAAGTTGTCAGGTCCTGAAAACATGTCTAATTCTTAGAAAAGTCGCTTCACTAACTGAAAAGTCATGACTAAATATTTCTCTAAGACTCCAGGAAGTTTATGTTCATGATATATTAGTCATCACTTTAAAGTAGCAAGTTGCATCATGTTATACTTTTCTGCAATAACAACCTGGATAGGAAAATCTGAAAAATGAGGCTAACCAATGTTTTTCGATGATTGTTCGTTGGTAATGAAGCAATCGTCAAGTGTGAGATTTCAACCAATTCCCAACACTAGTGTCAACCTGTGGCTCCTTTCGCGGAACAACCTTTACTAAGGTTAACCTTAACCCCCATTATTTAACATTGTACTAAGGTTACCTTGTGACTTACGATCACCTTAGTGCTTTGTGAAAGGAGGCCCTGGTCATCGAGCCTGAGCCCCCGATCCCACCAGTAGCCTCTTACGACAGGGTTGTGTGAGTGTCTGGGTGAGTAAGGTTTTGTCATATCTAGGGGACAACAAGATTACTTTGCGGGCATTATACTTTGAGCTGACCTTGGGGCGAGTGGCTCGGTCACTTGGTGTAACGCCGCTCTGAACAACAGGTCAGTTAAATGCTTGAGGAAATGTGGCCAAAAGTGACACAGGCGTTTTCCACTTCAGTGAAATCTACGAAACCTATGGTATGCAATGACTGATGGGATCGCAATTTGGGATCTGGGATCCTCGTCCTTGTAAATAAATTTATTCTGCCCAGCTCACTACAGCGCCTTTGACCTCTCACTCACCTCTGCACCTCAATCCAGTTGGGAGGGCATGTGTGCTTGTGAGATATCTACGCTCTTCTAAACACTGAACATAAGGAAATACGGTCAAGTTACTCGTGTTGATAGAATGTGATCATGTACAGAATAGCTTTAATGTCTCGCTAGAGATCATAACGAGGTCCATGTTGTGAATACAGCCAAATGCAACAGTTACCATGTTCTGGCACGGTAAAGGGAGGTAACTCAAACCACTGGCAGCTCCCTAGACGAATGGGTTACACAAAACCCTGGTTCAATAACAGAAGGAATCCTTTATTACTTCTAAAGTCTGAGCAAATGGGTAAACATGTTAAGATAATCAGTTATAATGGTCACACTTACAGGTCAGAAGTCCCAAACACACAAGAATAACGTGGAAGACCTGGTTAGAGTCCTGACATGGGCACAATGTCTGAAGCCCATTTCTGGTGTCCCCCGCAGTGATATTGCTGGAATATTGCTAAAAACGGCTTAAACCTAAACTCACTTGGGTACAGCTTGTAATTATATTCGTTAATGTATTGATAAATTCTAGTACATACTTACGCCTTGAACCAGGAAATTCATGCAGAAAGGTTATACGTAATGATATTTTATAGCTGGGTTTATATATCACTGTTAGTTTTGCGCCGCAGACAGCAATGTTCAAGAGATGACGTTGGTGAAGTTGGTGGAATAAAGATGACAAGACTTTATGGATGAATTAACTTCTTTGTTTTGACAATGGCGACGTTTCGGTATAGATTCTCATACCGGTTTCAAGCATACACGTCGCCATTGTCAAAATATAGAAGATCATCCATAAAGTCTTGTCATCTCTATACCACCAACTTCTAGAATGCCACTCAAACAAAAGCGATGTTCCAGCTCTATCACGACGGACTGTTAGTGATTCAACCGACCCAGACGAGCCAGGCACAGATTGTCGGTGAGCGAAGAACTAACCCAATCTGATCCGACATCTAGCCAACAGTGGGGAGACCCATGAAGATTCGGGTTAGAATTGGTCTTCAGTAACCCATGCTTGTCGTAAGAGGCGACTAACGGGACCGTGTGGTCAGGCTCGCTGACTTGGCTGACACATGGCATTGCATCCCAGTTGTGTAGAACGATGCTCATGATGTTGATCACTGATTGTCTGGTCCAGACTCGATTATTTACGGACCGCCGTTATATAGATTAGCTGGAATATTGCTGAGTGTTTCGTATAACAAGGGGTGGTCGTGATCTCGTCCCACATTGGGGATCAGGGGTCTGCCTCACCCGACATCTTACAGACCACCGCCATAAAGCTGGAATATTGCTGAATACGGCGTTAAACAACAAACCAAACCAACAGTGGGGACCAGAGAGTCTCACAGTCCCTGAACCATATTATTTCAGCTTCACCCAGCCTGTAATGCAAATGTCCAAGACGAAGCAAGGCTAGATTTGTCACAGGGTTAGTAAATCACCTGCCTTATTGGATCTGTTTTTCTAATTAAATGTGATTTCTTTACACTTTCAGAGGTTAGTATGGGGACAGTGAAGGTCCGGGTTAGAATGATCCTTCAGTAACCCATGCTTGTCGTAAGAGGCGAATAACGGGATCGGGTGGTCAGGCTCGCTGACTTAGTTGACACATGTCATCGTATCCAAATTGCGCAGGGACCGCCTCCGTGGTGTAGTGGTTAGAGCGTCCGCCCGGAGAGCGGAAGGTCGCGGGTTCGATCCCCGACCGCGTCAAACCAAAAGACGTTAAAATATGGTACTTGTTGGTCCCTGCCTGGCGCTCGGCATTAATGGGTACAACAAGGACTGGTCGGCTCAGAGTCAGTATAATGTGTCTGAGTGGGGTATTCATGCTTCACTGCGGCATGGTATCTCAGTGGGCTAGCACTATAAAACCAGCCTTAGTCTGGGCTAGTACAAGCAGCCGCACATACACATACACACGCATGCACGTCGTCATATGAGCGAAATATTCTCAAGCACGACGTAAAACCCAATTTCACCTCACCTCACCCAATTGCGCAGGTCGATGCTGTTGCTGTTGATCACTGATTGTCTGGTCCAGACTCGATTATTTACAGACCGCCGCCATATAACTGGAATATTGCTGAGTGTGGCGTACAACTAAACTCACACACTCACTCTGGGGACCTGGGTGCTGCAGTACCTTTATTTGTTGTTTAACGCCACAGGCAATGTTCCTGCTATACGGCAACGGTCTGAAAATAATCAAATCTGGACCAGACAATCCAGTGATTGACATCATGAGCATCGATCCATGCAACTGGGATAAGATGATATGTGTCAACCAAGTCAGCACGCCTGACCACTCGATACCCTTAGTCGCTGAAGGCCATTCTAATCCCGATCTTCACGGTTTGGAGCAGTACTAAGCGAGTTGATCTTAAATCTCATGCCTTAACATGTACACATGCCTTATATAAATACGACAGGACCGCCTCCGTGGTGTAGTGGTAAGAGCGTCCGCCCGGAGAGCGGAAGGTCGCGGGTTCGATCCCCGACCGCGTCATACGAAAAGACGTTAAAATATGGTACTTGTTGGTCCCTGCCTGGCGCTCGGCATTAATGGGTACAACAAGGACTGGTCGGCTCGGAGTCAGTATACTGTGTCTGAGTGGGGTATTCATGCTTCACTGCGGCATGGTATCTCAGTGAGCTAGCACTATAAAACCAGCTTCATTCTGGGCTAGTACAAGCAGCCGCACATACACATACACACGCATGCACGTCGTCATATGAGCGAAATATTCTCAAGCACGACGTAAAACCCAATTTCACCTCACCTATGTAATACGACAGTCTTAGGGCTTAACTGGTTTTGTACAAGGGCTTCCCGTTCTAATCTGGACTGCAACGTCGAATTTTCTACCAGAACACACGTGAGTGAGAAGACTGAACGTTAAAAACGTAGAAAACACAGCTAAAATATACTCCCTCAATATACAAAACTGTGAAACTCGTATTTTGTTGTGGACTGTTGACTTGTTCTGCTTTCTGATCACGGAAACGTATTGATGGAGAAACAATCTTCAATGCATAATAACGCAATGCCAGCATCCTTTCTTCTCATCAGGCTAAAAGTCAAATCTCACAATTAGATCGTAAACGTAAATTGAGGCGATGGTCGACGGACAACGTACTTGTGACTTAAAGGGACCATCCGTTTCATGTTTACATATCACACAATGTTGAGATACGATAACATTGTAACTCATAAGATGAGAGTATTTGCCGGGTCCACGTCATGCTCAATGAACAGTAGGACGTGGTGTGGAAAGTGTGATCTTAGGTTTGCATGTTTTGGGTTTGATAGGAATATATTATGTGCGCTTCTAAATCTATAGCCAACGCGTCCGACCTCTTCCTTCATTGAGACCCATGAAGATTCGGGTTAGAATTGGTCTTCAGTAACCCATGCTTGTCGTAGTAGGCGACTAACAGGATCAGGTGGTCAGGCTCGCTGACTTGGTGGACACATGTCATTGTATCGCAGTTGCGTAGGGGTATGCTTGTGCTGTTGATCACTGGAGTTTCTGGTCCAGACTCGATTATTTCCGGACCGCCGCTATATAGATTAGCTGGAATATTGCTCAGTGTTTCGTAAAACAAAGGGTGGTCGTGATCTCGTCCCACATTGGGTATCAGGGGTCTGCCTCACCCGACATCTTGAATTCCTACGAAAGTTGGTACCGTGGACATGTCACGGGGACATTAAGTGTTAGAATTCCTGGGAATTCCGGTCCACTGGTTCATAATTTGACGTTTTTGATGTCGGGGCTAGCGTAAAAACATCATAAATAAAGCACTAAAATATAAACATGAGCATTTATATACAAAAACTACTTTTAATTGGTCCAATGCATCAATGTCATCTTTCAAAAGTCATGGTAAATTGTAAAGGCAGTCATAATACTGTAAGGTAACAGTGCTGTAATCAACATGTTGAGAATAATATACGTTCAAGTACACTACTAGTATTCTAGTCGACACCTCAGTACAAGCATTATTGCTGGATGGCTTATGAACATTCATAAAACTACAAGACGAGACACAGTTGTAAGACTGACTGACTGACTGAGTGAGTGAGTGAGATCAATTGTTTAGACTTATGGTAAAAGAGTAAGTCTTCCTGTTTTCACAGGTTGAATGTTGAAGACCATCACATCACAGCCACATGTTCTTAACCGGACAAGTAGCTTGCACGATCTCTCCCCCTTCATCATCATCATCAAGATTCCACTCTCGTCCACAAACACGCTCGGACGCACACGCACACGCAAACATAAACGATCTCCCTTGGAAGATGTTTTTGGAGGAAATTCATGTCCATTTCATCTAAACACTTTGCTCCGTGAATACAGCCCGATCACTCAAATCACATTAAATATCGGTGTACGATGCTAGTGGCAAATGAATGCACAGATTCATCTTCCATTCGTCAGAAATACTGAAAGTGCTAAACATGAAAGACACAATTGCTTCGGGAAATCTGAAAACCGATAACTTAAGAGGTAACATCAGCACCAGAATGAGACAAACGCCTACAATAAAGGACATGGTTATCAAACTGTAACATATCTCGCAGCATTCCCGCAATACTGAGACGACCAAATACTGCATAACCGTCACCTTAAAACTATATATATAATAGAAAGGTAGAAGACTGACAAAAAAACAAATGGTTCTTACAAATATCGAATATTCACACAACATTCCTCCACCGAAATCTTACAAATACCAAGCCAGAATGTGGCTAAAATGACATTTGTCTTGTACAGTAATAGGAAACAGTAATTACTCAAATATACGTCAAGTACATCTTACAATTCTGTTCATCCCTGTATAAGGCATTCCTGTTATTGCTGAAGTGTAACCATATATCACAGATAAAAACATACAACACTGTATCGACATGACTTCTAATTAAGGTAACAATAGACAATAGTAGTGTCAATAAGCAGAATCATGTTAAGCCTTTGTAACATTCAATATAAAATCTCAACGCCAAATAATGACTGAAATAGGACTCATTGGGCATTAAAGGGAAAACAGCCATGAGAATTACAGGAATGGGTTACTGTAAATCTCTGATGACACCAGGTGTTCGCGCCAAAGGGGCAAACATGTCCTACACTACCGGTAAGGGACCATCATGCATACAATTTGCATGAGAACTGAACTCACATATTATTCAATCACATATGTCAGGAAGAGAACCAAACGCAGCCTGGATCCCTTGGTCTGTTGCGCCTGCGCTAACGCTCCGACACAGACCCAGGGAACCAGGCTGAACCAAACGGCGAGACTGGGCTTCTGCTTTAAACCGTTAGAGAGGCGCATTCGCAAATAGATTACAATCCCAGCTTAATATAAAATCGTTCCGGTGAGAAATGTGAATTCTGTACATTTAAAGCAGAGATTCTAGCAGAAGGCGTCCATATACATGTCAATCTTTGTTATTATTTGGAGAATCTAAACACACTTGTAGCATCAAAATACAAATTACATCTGCATACAGCGAAGCCCCGTTTATCCAGACGGTATTGATAAGATGAAATCTCCTAAATGAACAAATGTGTGGATTAAAGAAACAGTGGAGTGTCACCCATGTATATTTATGTTGACGTCATTGACATGTTCTTCGGCGTAGCAGGGTATAAGGACAAACATTGTCGGGACAAACGAGGTCTCACTGTCATTTGATACTGACTAGTCATCTTTGGGTTCTTTATATTTGACGACACTCATTTCGAATGACTCATTGACAGATCGTCGGGCTTGATTATCTCCCTTTACTGTCGTCTTCTTTTTCTTGCTTCCAAGTTGACTGCGCCGATGGTTGTTGCAGAGACACTCGAACCAGTCAGCAGTCTGGGGTTTCAGAACGCTAGAAATCGACTAACAAGTATTATTTAATTGAACTTGGCATCGGCAATGAATAAATAATTTAGTAACAAAAGGAAGAAGAGCTACTTCCCAACTCTATTGCCCATTTTCCAATTAAAGTACTTGCATTAATATCGAACTACTACTGAAGTCACATCGACAATGACTCCCGAGATATATCTGATCACGTACCTCTTGAGTCTGTCGTACAGGACGGTCACGAGGGGGACGACGTCGGCCGCGGCGGTGTTGAGCATGTCCTTGTTTAGAGGTCGCCGCGCCCAAACGTGCTGGTCCTCTCGCAGTAGACGCTGTAGACAGATGACGAGAAGATAGTGATCAGTGGTCGGTAGTGTTGGCATAAACATGAACATAGAACAGCATAACATCTCTCGATAGGAATAGGAGGACGGTGGGATAGACATGAACATGGAACAGTATAACATCTCTCGATAGGAATAGGAGGGCGGTGGCATAGACATGAACATGGAACAGTATAACATCTCTCATAGGAATAGGAGGGCGGTGGCATAGACATGAACATGGAACAGCATAACATCTCTCGATAGGAATAGGAGGGCGGTGGCATAGACATGAACATGGAACAGTATAACATCTCTCGATAGGAATGGGAGGGCGGTGGCATAGACATGAACATGGAACAGTATAACATCTCTCGATAGGAATAGGAGGACGGTGGCATAGACATGAACATGGAACAGTATAACATCTCTCGATAGGAATAGGAGGGCGGTGGGATAGACATGAACATAGAACAGCATAACATCTCTCGATAGGAATAGGAGGGCGGTGACATGGACATGAACATAGAACAGCATAACATCTCTCGATAGGACTAGGAGGGTGGTGACATAGACATGAACATAGAACGGCATAACATCTCTCGATAGGACTAGGAGGGCGGTGGGATAGACATGAACATAGAACAGCATAACATCTCTCCATGGGACTAGGAGGGTGGTGACATGGACATGAACATAGAACAGCATAACATCTCTCCATGGGACTAGGAGGGCGGTGACATAGACATGAACATAGAACAGTATAACATCTCTCGATAGGACTAGGAGGGTGGTGACATAGACATGAACATAGAACAGTATAACATCTCTCCATGGGACTAGGAGGGCGGTGACATAGACATGAACATAGAACAGTATAACATCTCTCGATAGGACTAGGAGGGTGGTGACATAGACATGAACATAGAACAGCATAACATCTCTCCATGGGACTAGGAGGGCGGTGACATAGACATGAACATAGAACAGTATAACATCTCTCCATGGGACTAGGAGGGTGGTGACATGGACATGAACATAGAACAGTATAACATCTCTCGATAGGACAAGGAGGGCGGTGGGATAGACATGAACATAGAACAGTATAACATCTCTCGATAGGACTAGGAGGGCGGTGACATGGACATGAACATAGAACAGCATAACATCTCGATAGGACTAGGAGGGCGGTGGCACAGACATGAACATAGAACAGTATAACATCTCTCGATAGGAATAGGAGGGCGGTGGCATAGACATGAACATAGAACAGTATAACATCTCTCGATAGGACAAGGAGGGCGGTGGGGTAGACATGAACATAGAACAGCATAACATCTCTCGATAGGAATAGGAGGGCGGTGACATGGACATGAACATAGAACAGCATAACATCTCTCGATAGGACTAGGAGGGCGGTGGGGTAGACATGAACATAGAACAGCATAACATCTCTCGATAGGACTAGGAGGGCGGTGACATAGACATGAACATAGAACAGCATAACATCTCTCGATAGGACTAGGAGGGCGGTGGCATAGACATGAACATAGAACAGCATAACATCTCTCGATAGGACTAGGAGGGCGGTGGGGTAGACATGAACATAGAACAGCATAACATCTCTCGATAGGACTAGGAGGGCGGTGGGGTAGACATGAACATAGAACAGTATAACATCTCTCGATAGGACTAGGAGGGCGGTGGGGTAGACATGAACATAGAACAGTATAACATCTCTCGATAGGACTAGGAGGGCGGTGACATAGACATGAACATAGAACACCATAACATCTCCCTCGATAGGACTAGGAGGGCGGTGGCATAGACATGAACATAGAACAGCATAACATCTCCTCGATAGGGACTAGGGAGGGCGGTGGGATAGACATGAACATAGAACACCATAACATCTCGATAGGACTAGGAGGGCGGTGGCATAGACATGAACATAGAACAGCATAACATCTCTCGATAGGACTAGGAGGGCGGTGGCATAGACATGAACATAGAACAGCATAACATCTCTCGATAGGACTAGGAGGGCGGTGGGGTAGACATGAACATAGAACACCATAACATCTCTCGATAGGACTAGGAGGGCGGTGGCATAGACATGAACATAGAACAGCATAACATCTCTCGATAGGACTAGGAGGGCGGTGGGGTGGACATGAACATAGAACACCATAACATCTCTCGATAGGACTAGGAGGGCGGTGGGGTAGACATGAACATAGAACAGCATAACATCTCCTCGATAGGACTAGGAGGGCGGTGGGGGTAGACATGAACATAGAACAGTATAACATCTCTCGATAGGAATAGGAGGGCGGTGGGGTAGACATGAACATAGAACACCATAACATCTCCTCGATAGGACTAGGAGGGCAGTGGGCAGGACATGAACATAGAACACCATAACATCTCTCGATAGGACTAGGAGGGCGGTGGGGTAGACATGAACATAGAACACCATAACATCTCTCGATAGGACTAGGAGGGCGGTGGCATAGACATGAACATAGAACAGCATAACATCTCTCGATAGGACTAGGAGGGCGGTGGGGTAGACATGAACATAGAACACCATAACATCTCTCGATAGGACTAGGAGGGCGGTGGGGTAGACATGAACATAGAACACCATAACATCTCTCGATAGGACTAGGAGGGCGGTGGGGTAGACATGAACATAGAACAGCATAACATCTCTCGATAGGACTAGGAGGGCGGTGGGGTAGACATGAACATAGAACACCATAATATCTCTCGATAGGACTAGGAGGGTGGTGGGGTAGACATGAACATAGAACACCATAACATCTCTCGATAGGACTAGGAGGGCGGTGGGGTAGACATGAACATAGAACAGCATAACATCTCGATAGGACTAGGAGGGCGGTGGGGTAGACATGAACATAGAACAGCATAACATCTCTCGATAGGACTAGGAGGGCGGTGACATGGACATGAACATAGAACAGCATAACATCTCTCGATAGGACTAGGAGGGCGGTGGGGTAGACATGAACATAGAACAGCATAACATCTCTCGATAGGACTAGGAGGGCGGTGGGATAGACATGAACATAGAACAGCATAACATCTCTCGATAGGACTAGGAGGGCGGTGGCATAGACATGAACATAGAACAGCATAACATCTCTCGATAGGACTAGGAGGGCGGTGGCATAGACATGAACATAGAACAGCATAACATCTCTCGATAGGACTAGGAGGGCGGTGGCATAGACATGAACATAGAACAGCATAACATCTCTCGATAGGACTAGGAGGGCGGTGGGGTAGACATGAACATAGAACAGCATAACATCTCTCGATAGGACTAGGAGGGCGGTGGCATAGACATGAACATAGAACAGCATAACATCTCTCGATAGGACTAGGAGGGCGGTGGCATAGACATGAACATAGAACAGCATAACATCTCTCGATAGGACTAGGAGGGCGGTGGCATAGACATGAACATAGAACAGCATAACATCTCTCGATAGGACTAGGAGGGCGGTGGGGTAGCCTAGTGATTAGCCGTTCGCTCGTCACGCCGAAGACCCGGGTTCGATTCCCCACATGGGTACAATGTGTACATTTCTGGTGTACTTGCTGAAATATGTCTAAAAGCAGCGTAAAACTAAACTCACTCACTCACCCAATATGACTTTTCACCCATCTAAGATGGGGATCCGATCTTAATGCGCCGACGAACGTAAGCCTTTGTTATAATATGGGAGTTACGGTCGCCTTAGCTGTCACCCTTTGTGGAAGCAGGCCCTGGGGCCCGTTTCACAAAGCTCTGGTAAGGCTAAGATGTCGTAACTTTCCTCGTAACATTCCTACCTCCTATACTGTAACATTGACGTACGATAGTCGTAGCGCTACGAGAGATTTATGAAACGGGGCCCTGGGCTCTATTGGTTGCCATAGTGCCGTCTCAGATGGACCTGATGGACCGGTGTTTGACGCTGCTCTTAATATCAACCTCTGGTTTGTATTGACAAGTTTGATTGGTTACAGCTGGAATATTCATTAGATTGTAAACAGCTTACTCAGTGTCGGGGATAAAATGAGTATCAGTGAATCCACAACACACAGTTTTACATCATACGGAAAACTTTCGTTCATTCCAAGAAACAGGTATAACTTCACACATACCTCCAGTGGTGCTGAGGGAGTATACCCAACGATGTCGTATTTTGCAAACAAGGCGTTTTTGCTGATCATCCGAGGCGGAAGTCCGTACTCCTCCATTAGTACTCGATGCGCCACCTAGCGAGAGAAACATATATCTACGCGTGTAACTACAGTCAGCTCTCGTTAATCCGACACTCATTAATCCGTCAATCACGTTAATTCGACAAAGAATTAGAGAACCATTTAAGTGAGGTGAGGTGAAATGGGGTTTTAACGTCGTACTTAAGAATATTTCGCTCATATGACGACGTGCATGCGTGTGTGTGTGTGCGGCTGTGTATTTAAGCTGCGGCTGCTTGTACGTCGCCCAGACTGAAGCTGGTTTTATAGTGCTCACTGAGATACCATGCCGCAGTTAAGCATGAATACCCCACTCAGACACATTATACTGACTCCAAGCCGACCAGTCCTTGTTGTACCCATTTATGCCGAGCGCCAGGCAGGGACCAACAAGTACCATATTTTAACGTCTTTTGGTTTGACGCGGCCGGGGATCGAACCCGCGACCTTCCGCTCTCCGGGCTGAGGAATCATTTAAAACAGTGATAATTACTCTCGTTAGATAGTCTCTCAGTCCCCGGACAATAATATTGTCCCTTCCGTCCAACCCTGCCTTCAATACAAATGCACTAAATGAAACAAGTCTCGATTTCCTCAGTCGCCATTACAATTATCACTAGGGTTCTTTTTTCAATTTAACTGGAGTTATTTGTTATCAACATTATATATTTTCAGAGACTAAGTGTTAGTCTACGCGTCAGAATACAAGTGTGCTTTGGTACAGAAGGGGGTAGGGTAATTCATTCTGTCACAAAGTTTATCTGTGTGTTTAAGGTGTGGTCAGCTGTTTGGGGGTACCTGCGTGTCGAAGACGTTCCTCAGTGCGACACCGAATCCACGATGGAGGGCCGCTGCATCGGCAGCGCAGTCGTGTATGACCTGGGAAACAAAGTACAGTCTACTGAATGAACGGTTTGAGTGGCATTTTAGTACGAATTGAGAAAACCTATGAAAAAGTAGTCAAATGTAACATATGTTCTTATTTAAATGACACATTCATAAAAAAAATCTAGCATTTATACTTTATCAAACGTTTTATTAATTGAGCAGACTCACTGTGTATATGTCTATTTTGGATTATAAGGACCAACCACAACTTTTTAACTTTAACTTGCCATTCATTATCACTAATATCATAATACCGTTTAATTTAAGTGAAATTCCATACATTACCTTCTCTCCAAACCCAACAGCATACCCTTATAGGTAAAAAATCATTTCCCATTCTGCCTACAGTAGTGCTGTAGGCAAGCTGGGATGTAGGCAAATTGGGACTGTAGGAAGAATGGGATGCGGGCCAGTTAACAAGTAAGAGGGGTACACAAAGTACGTGATCTCGGCTACAAGTTGTCAGACCCCTCTGCTCATTAACTGTCGGGTGTTTCCGTAATAGGCGGAAATACGAGTACGTTTTTGTGTTTTTATTGCTATTTTACAAACTTTTTGTTCAATTTTAATCACGGAATGTGACTTTTACAATATCCTTTACAATATATCAAAAGTTTTGTTTTCGTTCGTATTCTCCTTTAATGGAAGCTGCGGTGGCTGAGTGGGATGGAGAGCCGATATTGTGTGCTGGCGTTTAGGTGCGTCACTCTGCCTCACTGTTCGAATACCGTATGGAACTCAATCCGGGTGAACTCATTTCTCTCACACTGAACTAATTTCTATGAGATTAAACTAATCTATTTAAGTTTCCTTTTGAGTTTAACGTATTTATTGAAACTGGACTAATGTTTGGAGATGGAACTGATTTCACAAAAACTGAATCAGTTTATTAGTTCAATTTAGGTAAACAATAAGGTATGTCAGATTAGAATACTTCGATTAAGATTGAACAAATGTCTTTCTGGTGAAATGTATTCATTAGATTGAACGTGTACTAGCCACACACTAGCGGACTGATACGGACAAGCCGGTAGCCGTGACAGTGTACTGGAGCAGTACCTTGGTGACTTCAGTACTCTGGAACAGTCTGATCAGACCACCGTCGAGGATGATGTTCCTGTCTCGTCTCACGTCGAAAGCGTACACGTCACCCTGTAGCGTTGCTACGACAATCAGATAAATGGTACCTATGAAAGAAAATAATCCTGATTATTTCAAAATGTTTCAATCAATATGAATATGACTGAATCAATTAATATTTGTTATACATAAAACGAATCTACTCAAATACTTTAAAAGCTGAAGAAATTTCATATAAAACATAAGAAATTATGAAACGAGGAATCTCAGTGAATATATTCTACCTTATGTACTCATCATAGAAAATAATAAATACCTGATAAAATGGACTTGGTTAAAACAGAATTGTGTTGTATCTAAGTTAATTACTGCATATAACTTCCTGCAAGGTTCGAGTTTATGTAAGAAAAGTGATAAGATTTTATATACTCATGATAACTATGGAAACTTCATTTGTCACTGGGGCTTCAATTTTTAATTGGAGAGGGGTGGGGTTGAGGTGTGTGTGACCCAGGTTCGGGGTGGGGAGGGTAAGAATGACAACCATTATTGGCATGAGTATATAATGATAACTATCTAAACTTCATTTGAAACTTGTCAAATATTGAATATTACTCATATTTTTATGTCAGTCATTCGTGAAATGGGACGTACCTTTACCTCCTGCATTGGCCCCCTTGCAACTGACCCCAACCACAGGGGATGAGACGAGGATGTCGTGCACTGCCTTCTCGGACGCCGGCGCAGATGACACGAGATGGATCCGCGGCATGTTGCCGTCAGGGCGTCACAGCACGTCCACGGGGAGCTGACATGACAGTGTCAAAACATCAAGGAGGAGACAAAGATCAAAGAGAGAGCCAAAAAAACCATAATGCTATTTGTGACCAGGTGTAGCACTCGCAGCATCGATATTAGTGGGCGAGTGAGTCAGTTAAAATTCACGCCGCTTTTAGCAATATTCCAGCAAGATGACGGCGGGGTACACCAAGAATGGGTTTCACACATGCGGGAGTCGAACACGGGACTTCGGCGTGACGAACGAACGCTTTAACCACCAGGCTATCCCACCACCCTTCATCAGTATCATGTTCAGGATACGTTTGTGTATCATATGAACCATCATCTTCCCGTGGAACGCGGATTCACATCTTTGATGTCTGTAGTGAGTGAGTTTAGTTTTATGCCGCACTCAGCAATATTCCAGCTATTTGGCGGCGGCCTGTAAATAATCGAATCTGGACCAGACAATCCAGTGATCAACAGCATGAGCATCGATCTGCGCAATAGGGAACCGATGACATGTGTCAACCAAGCCAGCGAGCCTGACCACCCGGGCGTTCACGGGTTTTGATGTCTGTAGATAAGTGAATACTCATGCCTTAGATCGGCCATAATGGCAGGGATATAGGTGAAAATATTCGTAGTAATATACGCATACAACAAAGAAAAGTCCTATCCTAAAATAAATTCGTGTCTTTTGCAATATTCTTTTTAACGTTAAATTAATGCCACACGGGTTCATGTGTTGTCCACATCAAGATGCACGGTCAAACTGCTAAATCTGTTCAGGACATTATCAAAATTGCATAATCTGTCATTGTATGTTTTGTTGAGAGTCACATTCTGACAAACAAACCAAGAATTTTATTCAAATTAACGGAAACACAGTGAGATATATACTAATGAACATACCGATTTCGTCTTTCTCCGACGTTTAAAAACACATAAAACACATAAAATGGTGTACTTTTTTCCGTAATTTCATAACATTTGACGAAAGGTTAGCATCCTGTTAATGGTGCAACATTAGTCAGAATACATCTACAAACAGGAGAATAGAGGAATCTAAACACTAGATAGGGTCATCAAGTTTGCTATTACGTCCTTCGTGTTGTATGCTATCATCATTTCTTGTCACTTGTGATACTACCAATACCTTAAACGTATACTGTTACAAGGATTCTTTGCATTGGAATAGTTTTGGTCCTCATGAACAAAACCTCACGAAAATATAGTGACCTTATCCAAAGCAAATTGTCTCCAGGAGTTACAATTACCACGTGTTAAACCTAGCGAAGTTAAGCTCCCATGTCTTTATGCGTGTGTGATCTCTCAGTCGTCGTTTGACGTCATAGAAGAAAACAAAATATATTTTCATCATCACTGACAAGCCGTTATCTATACTGAATGTATAACGTTACACATGAGAATACAAATCCATTTGATATATACGAATGATGTTCAAATACCAGGCAGTATTTTGTTCGCTCACAGTTTACGTGAAGATGCCAAATAAAAGGAAATCGTCGCAGAGTGCTTTCATCGGTCTACGAGAAAAAGGGAAGAGATTTACTGTTACGATATACTAAGACCTAGCAATTTCTATTTTTCAAACTGCCGAAGTATTTGCACTTGCATCTACACCATAGGGAATTACATATTCTACACTAACGCGTAATTTCACAGCTGTGGTTAGATCCAGGGCCGTACGAGCGTAATTCTGGCATAACGCTCACTTTTCAGACCTTATGATAACTGTGCGTCAGAAAAAACCCACACAACTCTGATCGACTGTGTCGTTATATTGTGTCTGAGAGGTGTATTCATATCAATCGTATCTCACTTGGTCCGAACAAGTGAAAACAACGATACATACAAATGCACGCATGCGCAAACACACAACTGTAACTGCAATCATCCTGACGGTGAAACCTATTTCAGCAATTCGTCCTCAAGACTGGGTTTCCAGATTAGCGGGGTATGCACAAGGAAAGGTCTACCGCTTTGAGGACATATTGTTTACATGCACACTCAGGTTACGTGCGGTAACCAATGTTCCCCACGACGGAAAACCTAAACGTTCTTTACAAGAGTGATTAATGACACCCTCTCAGAGGGTAGCCTAGCATTGGGCAAACCTGACACGAACACTAATCTCATTATCAGGAGGGAATATCGATGTCACTATTATATATTATCACAATATATATTATGTTACATGACTAGGTTGCAGTGCCACAAAATCATTACGACAATCGCATACCCCTAGTATAATGGGTAGCAGGAAAAAAGAACTTGTAATAATGGGAGTACCAGGAAAAATGAATTTGTAATGTTAAGAAAAGATAATTAGTAATATTATGGGTAGCAGGAAAAAGAACTTGTAATTGTAATATTCGGAAAAGATAATTTGTAATATTAGAGGTAGCAGGAAAAAAGAACTTGTGATATGGGGATAACAGAAAGAAAGAACTTGTAATATTAGGGTAGCAGAAAACAAAAAAAGAACTTGTAATATTCGGAAAAGATAATTTGTAATATTAGGCTAGCAGAAAAAAGAACTTGTAATATTCGGGTAGCAGAAAACAAAAAAAGAACTTGTAATATTCGGAAAAGATAATTTGTAATATTAGGGTAGCAGAAAAAAGAACTTGTAATATTCGGGTAGCAGAAAACGAAAAAAGAACTTGTAATATTCGGAAAAGATAATTTGTAATATTAGGGTAGCAGAAAAAAGAACTTGTAATATTCGGAAAAGATAACTTGTAATAATATTATTAGAGTTAAAAAACTTGGGAAAAAACTTTTAATATTAAAGTTGCAGCATAAGAGGAACTTGTAATTTTAGGGGTAACGCTTTTCGTATCAGAAATGACGATAGTAATGTGGACAACAGGACAGCCGACTGGCAAGCTGCGCCCACCAAATTACTATATTTAGCTCCGTAATCTCCCACCCTGCATACAATGTCTGGCTAACTCTTTGTGGAGGCTCAGCGACTGTAATAATTCCTAAAGACTAAAATCAATAATATATTGCGGTCGCTACTCTACTGCTAACCACACACAACCGTAATTCAAAAGAACTATCAACACAGGCCCGCTTCGAAATCTGTTACGATTAAATCTTCACCTCCCACTGTCCCTGGGGAATTATTTAAATATAAGCTGAAATATTTTTGTGTCCTTTAAACTGATAAGCCCAAACCTTCTTCAACAATCAACCAAAGTATCATTGTGGGTATGTAGACCTTGTGGTGTATAAATGTATAATAGGGACTGTGATTAACGCCCTGTCCGAGGTTGTATCCATTGCGTGTGTATTCTAACCACCAATATCGATCGGGCTAGAGTGTAAACAAATGTAATACCTGAATATTTCAGGAGGAAGATTACAGCAAGCGGTGGTCATTATAGACGATAAGCTGCCCAACTCGCTAGCAGCGACTGACAACATATATATAATATTCTCCCTACACTATACTTATATGTAGATCAATACCCGATACAGTCATCAATAATAAATGTTATATACTACTGGTTTGACTGCGGAGATCATATGTAAGGCATTAGCACCTGCCGTGCAGCCCAATACCTCGACATACTGTACAGTTAGTGAATATGGTGGGAAGGTATGCTATGATATCGTCTCTTATAACTAATTCATGGCACAGCGGGCACTTTGTATCGTAAATGGCAGCTATTATGGAGATATTGTTTACTTACAGGTGTCGAAGATTCCTCACGAGCGTCGCTGGTCGTTATGGTATCGATGTTTATTGCCTCTTTGATCGGAGAGGTTATACAAGGGAGATAATCACAGTCACCTTCCCGGTTGCGTGTACGGTCTTGTTTCTCGCGTGTTAATTACAAAGAAGTCATTGTTGTTCAGTTTATGAGATATCTAAGTGCTATTTGAGCTGCACATTTACTGATACACTTTTCTGGTAATTTGTGTTTCGTTTACATTTCTCAAATATCTCCTATTCAGGTCTCGAATGAATGAATGAATGAATGAATGAATGAATGAATGAATGAATGAATGAATGAATGAATGAATGAATGAATGAATGAATGAATGAATGAATGAATGAATGAAAGGGAGATAATCACAGTCACCTTCCCGGTTGCGTGTACGGTCTTGTTTCTCGCGTGTTAATTACAAAGAAGTCATTGTTGTTCAGTTTATGAGATATCTAAGTGCTATTTGAGCTGCACATTTACTGATACACTTTTCTGGTAATTTGTGTTTCGTTTACATTTCTCAAATATCTCCTATTCAGGTCTCCAATGAATGAATGAATGAATGAATGAATGAATGAATGAATGAATGAATGAATGAATGAATGAATGAATGAATGAATGAATGAATGAATGAATGAATGAATGAATGAATGAATGAATGAATGAAAGGGAGATAATCACAGTCACCTTCCCGGTTGCGTGTACGGTCTTGTTTCTCGCGTGTTAATTACAAAGAAGTCATTGTTGTTCAGTTTATGAGATATCTAAGTGCTATTTGATGCACATTTACTGATACACTTTTCTGGTAATTTGTCGTTTACATTTCTCAAATATCTCCTATTCAGGTCTCCAATGAATGAATGAATGAATGTGACGGTCTTGAATTTCTGAATGAATGAATGTTAATTACAAAATGAATGAATCATTTCCCGTTGTTCAGTTTATTTATGAGATATCTAAGTGCTATTTGAGCTGCACATTTACTGATACACTTTTCTGGTAATTTGTGTTTCGTTTACATTTCTCAAATATCTCCTATTCAGGTCTCCAATGAATGAATGAATGAATGAATGAATGAATGAATGAATGAATGAATGAATGAATGAATGAATGAATGAATGAATGAATGAATGAATGAATGAATGAATGAATGAATGAATGAATGAATGAATGAAACGATGTCATACATACTGTGACAAATTCTAACGGTACTCTATGTTTGGAATCTATTATGCATTAGCATCCCTTAGCTGTAGCAGATAAACGGGTTGTGTGTTCGAATCCCAGCTTATCCCCAATTTTGATCCTTGTTATTATTTGCGTTTGTACCAAGCTGGATGTATGTTCATTCGTCCAAACTCGATCATTTCCGTTAAGGGTTTGTCCCAGAATAACACCTGTTGTTCACCTCTGCCATGTTCTTTGCAAAATGATACATGCGCTTTACAAGCACCTGTCTGTAAAAACACATCCGTAAACACACGTGACATGCATGGTTTAACACTTTATTTATGTCTGTAGATAATACCATATATCCAATCTAAGAATGACGAAACACGTGTATATACATCCGGGAAACCTGGCTTCCGGCACGTGGTACTGCCCCATGACGTCACGCCTGCTAGTGTATATCGCCCGTGTTTGTAACACACGAGAGGTCCACCAGAATCTCCCTGAAGGAGAAAAATAGACGTTTTACAACATATGTGCGTATCCTTCTACGGTAAAAAAGTCATGATGCTTAAATTTACAAGGATATTGTGGTCTGACAGAAACCTCATAGAAACCATGGCAGATTACTGATCAAAGAAAGGTATCAAAACGCATGATAGACAACAGGGCGCTTTATCTACTGGACCTCCATTGTCTTGAAGCATCATGAGGAAATGGCACTCGTCTATAAACTCACCTTGCAAGCGCCAATTACTCCATTTCCGGCACAAATATTTTCTTCTTTAATGACCCGCCATGACTGATTACAGGCGGCGGTAGGGACGATGTCCACCTGTAGGTGGCGCAGTATCCTCGAGTCCCCAGTATCTGAAGATGCAATGCGTGAGAGCCTTTGTACATAATTGCATGCAGGAATGATCCCAATCCGAAAATAGCCAAATATCGGAAATTGTGTCTGCTGTCAATGTAAACTTTGTGTTCTATTCAAACAATATGGAATAACGAAATGAATTAAATATCGGAAATACTGATATTATGGTCCAGTGTTGTCAGTTCGTCAACGTCACAATTTGTCCATTTTCGAACTGTGCAAAAACGTTTTAGCGTCTTGTCAAACGCAACAGGTCCGAGATGAAGCTGCGGTAACGAACTAGTCCAGTATAATTATCGTTATAAAATGAAGTACCCCGGACAAGGATTTATAATAGAGAGAAAATTCTAATGTCAGAATTTCGATTGCAAATTATTCATTAATATGGATTCCGAATGTGATCAAGTGGGGGGTTGTCTACCAACATATCACACAAGAGAGTATACAGTTCATTTTGTATTCCGTAACTTTCTGTGTGATGAAGCACATGGTGCAGCCTCTCAGTTTAGCTTCTCTCTCTCTCTCCTCTCACACCCACACTGTCTTTGTCTTAAACTCTCACGCTGGCTCCCTCTCTCTTATCAGTAGATCTTTCACTCTGGACCAATGCTGGGGCGACCCTTGTCCCGAGGTGCCTTAAGCTAACCCCAGACGACAAGTATTTATAGCTTTATCCCCAAACACTAGCCCATGTGTCATAAAGGAATCTCCCCATTACCTTAAGTATTTACGGAAAGATAAACCTTAAACACCCTGTCACACGAAGAATATAGTTAACATGCTGGAGTAACCTTTATGTTCCTAGATAAATAGGTTAACCGCAAGATATAATTGTTCTATGATATCTGAACAGACGAATTGTGAAGAAGAACATCTATGCTAGAGCGGCTTTAAATGTTGCACCATCAGAAACATGCCCCACTGTTGAAGCTTACTCCTTGTAAAGCCCCATCCAGTGACGTAGCACCGGTCAGACTTATCGAACACAGCGGAATTATGGGTAGGGAGACAGATTGTCCGGATGTAGTGCCCACTGGTGTCCACAGGGCGGTCAAGCTTTATCAGGGCGATGTCGTACGGGTTGCCAAACTCAAGGTCGAACTTGGAATGCTGAAACATTGATTGGTAGATTGGAAGATTGATTGGTAGATTGATTTGTAGAATGACTGACAGACTGATTGGTAGATTGGTTGAGTGATTGATTGAGTGATTGATTGATTCTATTTTGGGGAGGGAGGGTGGATGGGTGGGTGTGTGTTTGAAAATGGGTGATAAAGTGACGGTGACGCTGAATGGATTTTACAAAGTAAGTGTAAAGTGTACTTTATTTTAATGGGATCTACAAGTCTGCGTCTCACAATATCTCTCACAATGCCGACTTCACACTTTAACTGTATCAAGCACGCTTTCATCATCTATCCATCTTTTATGATCATTCGGAAAGACGATTACAGAGCCTATACCGCCAGTTTAAAGTACGAGAATTGCAACTAAAGATCACGCACTAGTTTAGATGTTTTCGACCAATTTCAACATCAGCAAACGTTGTTTCACCTTTATGACCTGGCTAATACGTCTGTATTGCTCGTGTCCGGTCTTTCTGGACTTGTGGTGCTGACCAAGGATGACGGTCATCCTGCGGGGGGAGTACCTGAAGCACCACATAAAGAACCCATTGGTACGCCTGGTTCATGTCGTTGCAATTAAAGACCACTGGCACGCCATGCTTCGCGGAAAAGGAAGATCTGACTGTTTCAAATGTATCTACTAAATCATCTACGTAGTGAAATCGTGCACGTGTTATATATGTTAAATATAGATTTATATCATTTATATTTAAATAAGTTTTATTTAGCATTCATTATTCGTGTAGTAAGTATGAAATACAAGTCATATATTGCTGAAATCATGGTTTATAACAGCATTTTCGTTGCTAGGAAACATTGCCACCTGCAAACGGCGCCATTTTTGTATTAGTTGACAGCGGTTCACGTGTTGTGTAAAACACGTGATATTTTAAAATTTCAGCCTGGTTGGTCTTTGCAACAAATTATGCATATACATTTTCGTTAATTAGATTGTTTGTTTCAAACGTCTCGATGTACATGTATGACCAAGTGTTGTGTCCACAATATTTCAATAGTCATGGGTTACGCAGCATGGTTGATTCGTTTTAGTCGTGAATCTCACAAAATTCAGATCCCAGTGCTCGCTACCGCTTCACAAAGATCTCAGTACAGGGGCGGTGGGGTAGCTCAGTGGTTGAAGCGTTCGCTCGTCACGCCGAAGATCCGGGTTCGATTCACCATATGGGTACAATGTGTGAAGCTCATGTCTGGTGTCCCCTGCCGTGATATTGCTGGAATATTGCTAAACTAATCTCAGTCACTCACTCTCAGTATATATCATTACATATAACAAAAGAACTATCTATCGCGAACTCTCAACGACCAGGGATATAAATAACATGACATATTAACCAATCAGAAAGCAGCTTTCTCGCCTTCCATTGTGCACGATTAAAATAATATCGATTCAAATTTAACACACTGCACTAAACAATTCTGGAATTCTGATAACTGGCCGGCATTTTATGACAATACTTTATACGGGTTATGGAATATATTTCTGTTTCAAATGTTTATTCCACTGAAGTGGGGCATCAGTCGGAATCAGCCCGTAATTGTTGCTCGATATACCCCCTGGCATCCTTTTCGAGGCTGTATGCTTAGAAAATACATTCTGACTGTCATTTGTTTCGATCTTGAATGCGACGCTCTGACTGTTCTGGTGCAAGACTGATCTCACATGACTAGGAACCTCAGAACTCTGTGTATCATTAGCAAGAACTAAGATTTGATATTAAAAATATTTGGTTTATGATCATATTTTCATGAGATTGTGAATCCTATATTTTATCAACGAAGTTGAAGACCAGGAGCTCTTTTCACGAAGCAACCTTTACTAAGGTTGACCTTAACTCCAATTCTTTAACATTGCACTAAGGCTACCTTAGTGACTTACGATCACCATAGTGCTTTGTGAAAGGAGGCCCTGAATCATCTTACTTATGATCGTTAATATGTTAGTACCGTACTCGTATTAAACCACTCGTATAGAGAAGGCTGACACGCTGAAATATATTTATAGGACTGTTCAAAATCGTCGAGACAAATTCACAAACTCACCACGTTTCATGAAGAATATGCTCGAGAAATAGACATGCTGACAATTACATACATGTGGATGAACTTACTTCCTGAAACAATGAGCGGCAGTGACAACCCAGCGGCGGTTGATGAGGGACCCCCCACAGAAGTGTCTCCTCCTCGACTCGAGCGCCACCTGCCACGGCCACTCCCCTACCACGGCAGGGTCTCCACCCACGACCCGGGCCACCCGCCCCCACTTTCCTCTCTGTAGTCGGGGGATGAATCCACAGTCCGAGAATCCTGGAACTGGAGACATGTTCGCATCACAGATATTCACTTACATTATATACAGTACATCTTATAAGGCGTACTGACCCGTGAAGATCCGGGGTAGAATAGGTCTTCAGCAACCCATGTGCTTGCCATAAAAGGCGACTGTGCTTGTCGTAAGAGGCGACTAACGGGATCGGGTGGTCAGTTTTGCTGACTTGGTTGACACATGTCATCGGTTCCCTATTGCGCAGATCGATGCTCATGCTATTGATCACTGGATTGTCTGGTCCAGACTCGATTATTTACAGACCGCCGCCATATAGCTGGGATATTGCTGAGTGCGGCGTAAAACTAAACTCACTCACTCACTATAAGGCGTACTCTCATGTAATGTAAGTTCGAGTACCAATTCTCTATAATTTGAACACGTGCACGTGATTAATACCATAATGCAGAAAGTATGACACATATTGTATTACGATTCAAAGGTAAAACAAAAACAAAAGCGGCGTTAAGTTTCTGAAAACATTCACCGCTTTTTCATATTACTTTCTCATCTGTGATCGTCCTTCAGTTTCAGTAAACAGCTCTATACGTCATTCGATGCTTGAAATGTCGTGATTATACACTGCCGGACAAAAGAACGTTTTCGCTTGAAACAATTCACCCAATAATTAAGGACGTTATTTAAACGTCACTGAAAACAATCGTCTAAACACAACAAATGTAATCTGAAGCAGTGTAATGCACGTATCAAATACATCACCATGGAATAACCATTTCTCGTTTCATTCATTTCTAGATTACATCAGACATGGTTGTGTACTTTATTGCCCGGCAGTTCACAAGGGAGGTGGGTGGCTCAATGGTAAAAGCGTTCGCTCGTCATGCCGAAGACCCGGGTTTGATTCCCCACATTTGTACAATGTGTGGAGCCCATTGCTGGTGTTCCCCGCCGTGATATTACTCGAATATTGCTGAAAGCGGCGTAAAACTAACTGACTGACTGACTCACCCTGCACCTCACATCGCTAAGTAGCGCTTTGCATAAGACAGTATCTTATTTCACACGAAATGTTCACAAACTAACGTTTTTCACCGAGCGGTAAGCCACAGCTAATTAATGACAGGCAAGCAAAGCACATGCTTAAGCATATTTCCAAACCTTCCTTTCCATTATCCTTCCCAGCAGCAGCGTCGCCGTCATCGTCGTTGATGCTCACCGTGTTGTTCCGATGAAGGGGTAAGCAGCACACGTCGCCCCGCCCACAATATCGGTCCCAACCGAACACCCACCCCCGACACCGCCTCAAAGCCATACACTCACCACCGCCTTGTGGACAGCTGGAGAACGGCAGGTGGCCCTCAACTGGTGGACAGGGAAGACGTTATAAACATTGTCACAATACAGTAAATAAACAGATCGTATTAATATCCACTCTATCTGTAGAGTATTAGAGCTTGATCCTTGCTTAACGTCGCTAAGACAGCGAACACAGGTATAGTGCTGACTGACCATGGATCACTATCGGGATCATTACGCCTGATCAGCGGATCCTGTCATTACTAAGAGACACAACAGTAGCCTTAAACGACACACGTAAAGAAGGTATGTATAATAATTGCAATACATATGATAATCAGAAATATTTCGATGTAGACAAATACTTCATGTCGTGGTGAAAGATAATCGAGAAAATAATTAATCTCAGACTGTCCAAAGTGTCAAGAACTTCAAACATAAAGAAAATATTCGTGTGGGTGTGTGAAGGAAAACATGCATGTTATCAAATGTTGAATATGAGTTTACTTCTACATTAAATATCAAAGCAAGTGATGTGTTGCAAAAGAAATTAATATCCAAGAGACACACGTGATAAATATATGCTTTCCTCGGTAATGTTCCTCTGTAGGTTTGATGTGTTTACATGCTTTGGTAAATATGTAGGCGGTGAAATGTGAAATCAAGAAACAAATGTCGGGACTAACTACATCATGATTCTCTTACTGGAACATGCATAATCATCATCATCATCATCAACATTATCATTGTGGATTTCATACAAGAAAACATTTTGCTTGACGTTTTCAGTTTTCTGATTGAAACTGAATTGCAAAAAATAATTGTTCTATTGATTAAAAAAATATCAGGGAATTGTTGCTCTGAATAAGGATATTGATACATATGTTTATCGGACACGAAACGTATCAACAACATGTTTACTTGCATATGAACTTATTTTATATCTAATCAATAACAAGTTTGAAAAACTAATAAAATAATAACAGAAACTAAAAAGTAAGTCCTGGCACAACCAATTGTGCAGAAAAACGATGATGAATAGTTACCTTGTATGAACACAATAAGTATGGCTCCAGTGAAAATGAACATTGTCTCAGAACAATACGACAGTTGGCGCCGACTCCTAACACACACACATCCTCCGTAATGCTACATGTGTTTATGAATTATGAAATATGATGTCGGGAATTAAACACGCATCATTAAATGTGAAGAGGACACAACACGTCTCTCAGCAGGTTCTCCGCTGACAACAGCGAAAGTCAGCAGTGTTCGTGCTGTTTATCTAAACGCATAGATTATATTAAACACAAACCCATGAATATAAAAAAACACGTAATCCACCTTACATGGACAAAAGGCTTTGAAATCCAAACGACCGCAAGACGTATGGCGAGAATCTGAGGTGAAACGTTTGTCCATTTGTTAAAGAAAATTTGTTTGATACTGAAGGTTGACAGGTTCACATCACTAAAACTATTCTTTGTCTGAATAATTGATCTATTGTTTTTGCTAAAGTATATATTAAATCAAACGTTGTTTTTTTTATGAAACCAAATCTGTTATTATGTTATGGTTTGTTCTGTCGGTCGTGATGTTGCAAACAGAAAATGTATCTTGTTTCAGTTTTCATTTTTAAATTTCCAGGTTTATATCAATATTTTACAAAGTTCAAATCGTGCCTGGAGAACCATACACCGTGTAGAGATCGAGCAGTAAATCAGTACAAATCAGTACAGTTCACTATAAAATGGGCACACTTAGGTTTGCACCACATTGTCAGTCAAAGGTATGGTCGTTTCCTTTGCCAGCAAACTCAAGTGCACGAGTGATCATGTTAGACTGACTGACTGAGTTTGGTTCTACGCCGCTTTTAGCAATATTCCAGCAACATCACGGCGGGGGACACCAGAAATGGGGATCATGTTAGAAGAAAGGGACAATGGATCAGTTTCTCTCATGGTCAATATCACAACGTCTACTACTGCGATGTATATGGGTGTCTGAAAATGCAATGTACAGTGGAACCCCGCTTATGCCGACCCAAATATCCGCGAAAACGCATATCGAGCGACATACTACATAAAATGCATCGCAGAAATCCTTCTCAAGCATTATAAATACCGACACTGGGAAATGCACGGTATTGTGGTCCACTTCCCAGACAATTAACACCCTTGACGATGTTTGCTTTTGCAACTCATCACCCCTCATGCAACATCAAAGAATATTGTTCAGTTTCGGCGAAACCATGTGTAATATACCAAATCATAGTTACATTGTGTATGTACACTAACCACAAGCATATTACTCTTATTTAGCTTTTGAAACGAACGTTGGTTGATAATAACTAAATGCCACACTTTGACTCATTTAGAGTTGCCGAAGATCAATTCTGACCAGGATCTTCACGGGTCAAATTTTCGTGGAGAAGGTAACAAGTGATTCGGACATCCGGGATGAGAAAAGGTATCAAGTCGCCGTTTGTATCTCATACCATACTAAGAACGTCTTCGTGTAGTAATCCTTGTTTTTACTCTTTGTTCCAACAATAATACCACGCCCAGTGCTCCAGAATGGTGTAGACAGTGGATTATATACTTCTGTAAGATCGAGTAGTGTGATGTCCATTAGTGCTTTAACTGTGTGTTTCCAGTAGTGGTGGTCCGATTAACTGAAATAATCGAAGATTGGTCGCAGTGACTAAACGACCAAGCAATCGATCATGCTTTCTCATAATCGAACACAAACAATTCTAGAACACTTGTTTTCATTAACAGTATTTTTCACTAGGTTGGTTTTGTCTGTTATATTTCATAAGCACTACAAGCTCGTGATTGAATTTATCTTAAAGACTCTAAGAAATTTATGTTCCTAACATACTAGTCATCCTTTAATGATGTGAAATTTTGCCAAAAAACCCAAAGAACTACGGGTTTTTTCTTATTTTTTGTGCATTAACAAATGTCATACATGACACAATCAAATATTGTCGATGACTGATCTCTTGTAAAGACCCAATCATCAATTATGAGTTTTTAACCAATTCCCAACACTAGTTTCCAGTACGAAACAAACAACGGTAAATAAGGGGTCTGTGGCACTATACACATATAGCTGCTTCCTTCATCATAATTACATAACTTGATGTTAACCATACTGGCATACTTCATAGGAATCTTTGAAAAGGGAGTCTTAGGCTCATCTAGGTATAATTACTACGTGTGTGTAGTTTTATGCTGATGGACAGGCAAAAAGGGTATCGACTTCTCAGATATCCGGACATGAATATGTTCATGCGAATGAGTTCGAGATGGGGAGAGATAGCCTTGAAGATAATCAAAGATCAGGATAATCCTTAAACTGCTACCCCTAAACAAAGTGTCGATAAATTATACGATTATATGATCGACGACACGCCACACTTCACCTAGCCAGTGTAGCAGGCATCTACAATGAGTCCAGTTGTAAGGATGAGCTGGACAAGACAAAGGTAGCAGAACACTGAGTCTAGATCTTCTGACAAGTGATGGTCATCGTTCTAGGTTTATCATCTGTCGCGAAGATTGAAGCCTTTTAAAGCAGGACCATCTGCTCTTTTCCGTGGTCTGTAAACAGAGAAGACTCTTTAGTTCACTACTAACCTGCCTGAAACATCAAAAGCTTCCTCCTCCGAAGAATAAGGAAAAGTCTGTTCCGTCAGCATGGGATGGCGTCGGTCTTCTGTTGTTCAGAAGGAACATTTGGACTACCTTTCGAAAGGCCAAACCATTAATAGCCAATGATATACTTATCTGCTAAGGCATCTTAGAAATTTCAGGGTTACACTTCTTGGCAAAGTCACTTAGAGGTGTGTTGTTCAAATGGATGTCTGTTGGCGCCGTGACTGCAAGAATGACAGTGACTGTAAACTCGTTTAACTTCGTTCGTATTTAAAATTTCCATATCTCCTCAAACTCGGAGAGAACTGTTCGTCAAGCATTGGGTGGGGTCGGGTGGGGTTTATATCAGGACGACGCCTTTAAATCCGCTGGCAGGACGTTTGTTGACCTCAGAGGGGATTATGTTTAAAAAAGATAATTAGCGGCCAACTCCATCAACGCAGTTAAACATTGGCTCAAAACGTTTCAACCACCATTCGTATGTACATGCCAACCCCAAAAACGTTTTATAGATACTAAGGGTATTTTTAAATGAATGCCAGTCGGTCAGATATCAGTGTGGTATATGCACGTAATTTAGATTGTAATAAGTTACACATTACAAAGTAGCACGAGCGTCATCCTCAACATCATTATCAAAGCACAACGTTATAGCAACGTCTTCCTCGATTAATCGTGCTCCTGGTTTACGTTCAGTGACCTTGTTGTGGGTCTTTTTGTGGCCATCTTTGACACTTACTGAAGAAGTACACATTTCACGACATTATGGTAAGTACGTAGATATAAAAGTGGATAGTGTTGTCTTAGCTCACGCATTATTTGTGGCACTGCATCATGTGTACCATATTTAGATATCTGCATAAAGATTCAGTGTTACAAAAAAACCAAAACTTTATCCATACGAGGGATCCATTTTCCCTTTATTTCAAGCAATATTCCAACAGCCTTTTAGCCTTTGGTGTCCTCATTTCACTTTTGACATATAATCGAACATGCTCTTTTTACCAAGATTTCAAAGCCCACCATAGAATTCTTCAAAAGGTGTTCGAGCAATGTTATAACTTTCCTCAGCAAAGCATTCGTAATTTTTTGGGGAGACATTTGGAGGGCGTTTCAACCTTTGCCGCATCAGTGAAAAAATGATATCCGATACACTTCCCTATTTTGACTTATCTCATAATGTTCCTGATATTTTTCAGGTGAACAACGGACTAGCCTTGGCATATGTTTATGGCAGAATACGCGAACATGTGGTATAATAAGTGTTTTAATAGTAATGCAGTAACAAATGCTCAGGGTATGGGCGGAATTGTAATCTCAACTTTACTTTTAACCGATATATATTTGCTGTGGAAAGGGTTTTGTCGCATTCATGGGCCGAATAACAAAAGTAGATAATTCTTCCGTTCTTCCGATTTCTATTTTAAACTTTGTTCCGTTGAATACTTTAGAAACAGTCAAGAAATATACACATCAACAAAAATTGTTGTGATGGACTATTTGTTCAGTACGAACAGTGAATCTGAACACGATATACCAAGTCATAAATTGCAGATATTCATTAAATAGTTCT